GTCTCTTTTAATGCTCTCACATTCATTCGGATTCATTCTATCATATGTCTCTTCAACCCAGTTGACATAGAGGACAATACGATACATTATACTGAAATTTTATCATCCTAATACTTCTTATGAGTATCATGGTCAAACGCATAGTACCCAGAAAAAGTCTTATTAGGCACGATGGGCACCTTTGTGTCCAACACATATTCAACTTATTTTATACAACAACAACAACCACAAAAGGTGCAGTCAGTCCAGATAATTCGGTCCAGTCAACTTATTCATTTCCATCAGACATTTCAAAGATAAATTCAAAATTCTATTCAGCCAGAGAAACATAAGAATAAGAATATAAAGCAACTAGATCACATTTGTTAACTAAATTAACATGGCTTTTAGTAAATTTAGCTCCCACTATTTTTACATACTCTACGACCCCTTCAGAGGAGTACGGACTCATATCAAATATAGTCATAGTGAGCCAAGATCCACATCCATCCGATTATAGTCCCAGCTAGGGCTGATCACTATAATCGATGTAGTAGTAGGTCTCTAAACCAATTGTAAAAATTACAACTCTTGGTTGATCAAATCAAATTTGATCGACGTCCTTAGATCATTCCGACGCTAGGGCGACAAGAATTAGCTAAGTATGTTAAAACCATCACACGATCACAAACATATGTATCTATGAATGAGTCCGCGCCTCGTAGACCTAAGCAAACACTAGGGTGTAAATACTTTTGGACGAAGAGGTTTTTGCACTCATTCAATTGTGATGGGTGACGTTATGCATCCAAGATGAGACTTATATTTTACCAGAGGAACATTTGAACGAGGTATTAAATATCAAATATTCAAACAAGATCCAACTAATATCACATATCGGACGCCGTCTACCCGAGCATAATATACCGCTGTCCGACAAATACTAGGCACCGCCTACCCAGGCATAATATTGCGGTCCACAAATACTGGGCGCCGCCTACCCAGACAATATATAACGCGGTCCGACAAATACTGGGCGCCGCCTACCCAGGCAATATAATCGCGGACGCTAACTAAAATAAATAAACTATTTAATTTATTTCAGTTAGACAAATAGGAGCAAATGATCCAATTATCATGCATTTATAATATTCCAAACACATAAATATGTATTCAAAATACATGTGACAAGCAAATTCATGGATCAAAATAATGTCCTAAAATGTTTACCAAAATTTCTAAAATTTTTGAAATAAGCTCGAAACTTTATTTCGTTCATTAAATATTTCAAAAATATTTAAAAGTCATTTGACAATAACTTTAGTTTGAAATATACCCCAAGGGTTAATTTTGATTTTAGGGATTTTTCAGATATTTAAAACATGCAAAAATAGCCATTATTTAAGCTTTTTCAAAAATTTGATTTTTCTAATCAACCAAACAGGCCCTAGGCCAATTTCAGAAATTACACATTGACCCCAGGGCAAAATTGAAATAAACCAAGCTTTCTGAAATTGCCAATTGACCCCTAAAATATATCCAATTCTCAAAAGAAGTCCCTGGACCAAATT